TATAATTTCATCACTCAGTAATAGCAGCTGTTTGTGCAAACAACGCTCGGTTATCATGAACACATCTTAGTTCATGTACACGTTACTTCTCCATTGCTGTTGTCGTGTTGTGTGCCAGGCACGGAACGATGTGGCTGACTAGTTTAATCTGACACATAGTGAACATCGCAGTGATGGTATCGGATCAAAACCAAATTCTGCTGCAGCACCCATGCCTTACATGTAGTCCTCTGCTAGAACCATCCATCACAGCATCATTTTAAAATGCAAAAGGGGAGGGAAAGAGCTACGACAACATACGTGTGTATGCTAGCTCTGAAACTGCAGAAATGCTCTTTTATCTTCCTTTTGCGCTTTCTGTTATTCCCTATAAACCTCCTATGTTCATTTGGACAAAAATAAATGTAAAAACTTCCAGGATGGTCTAACACTTCCCTCTTTCTCTGGAAGAGTAAGTAGATTTAGGCAGACCTATCACTTTAATTGATCTACACAAAGCACTTATAGGAATGAGACAAGATAAATCTCCTGGTTGGGAGGGAATTGCATCTGATATGACCTGAAAATTGTGCACACCTGTTAGAGGGAAATATGTTAAATGAACTACCTTACAATTTCACAAAGCATCATGGGTTCTCTCTATCCCCAATTTGAAACATTATTTCTGGTCTTTAGTACTAAGACCTCTGTCAGCCTGGTTCAACCCAGATGCTGTTGTCTTATGGAAATACATAGAAAAAAACCTCCTTTACCCTCACAGATTTTTAAAGCTGGTCCACTCCGCCACACCACTAAAGCATGCAAAAATTCACTTTGGCCATCTAGGAGATATTTATGACGACACCGGTCTACGTTAATTTAATGACTTGCAGATTACATTTAATTTTTCTGCTTCACAATTTTTTCTTTATCTCCAACTGAGGGTCTGCATGAAGGCCTATGGGGTTTGCTGGAACACACCGCTCACTAATCACAGATTACATAAATTACTAAATAAACAAGGTCAAATGAAGAGCTTTGTGTTAGAACTTTACTCTTTGCTATCAATTGCCACATACATACAAGTCTTTGTACATTCACTAAGTGTTGTGCAGGGACCTTGGGTACCCTTGGAGGACAGCAACTACAACAGAGGAGTAGACGATCTGGCAGAGTGTTGAGGAGAAGACCAGGTATATGAAGCAGAGCGGGATGGTGATGATGGCTGACTACTGCACACCTGACTCCACTCCTGTAATCAAACACACAGAGCTTGACATGCTGTCTGATAAGGAAGGATTAAAGCATTATTAAAGCTGGTTCAGGCTTCACCAACCCCTTCAAATACAATGGCGTCATGATGGGGTATAATCGCCAAAGACTTTTCACATTTACCGTCTATATTTTGCACATGTCAAATTAATATAGTTGCATATTACAATAAATTTAGTCTCCTGATTGAAATGAAGTTCAGATTAAGTTCAAGCAGGAAGACCTTCTCATTATGCCTCATTCATTCACAATAGAGTTGTGACGTTCACAAACGAACAGAATCTATTGAATGGCTCTTTAACTTGAACGATGGGAACCGAGTCGCAGTGGAGAGCCGTTCTTTTTCTTTTTTACATTCCTCCCAGTGATTATTTCCCAGATTAAATGGGTTACCCCCAGGCTAGCTTCTTAAAAATAAATAAATATAAAAATGAGCCAGTCTTTTGAACGGCTCTTTGAAAGGAACGGCTCCTCAAGATCCGGCTCTCTTCAAAGAGTCATAAATCCCATCTCTAATTCACAATTCTCTCACTCTCCTTTTGTAATAAGGGCGTTTACTCTTTCAGTTGATCCAATCAGATTTATCCACAATCTCCTCCAGCCAATGATGTTGCTGCTGTCAAACTTTAAATCTGCTCTCCTCTCTGCTGCTGACTGACCCAAAATGATTATCATAACAAACTGTGAAAACCTTAAGAATTGTGAGAAAACATAATTTGTAATTAAAGCTGCAAGCAGCGTTTGGCGGGACCTCGCACTCCACGCAACTCGGGGTGTGTTGCGGCTGCGTCGCTTGCCGTCGTTACACGTGCGGACCAAGACGTGAAATTTCACGTAAATCAGGTCAAAATCGCCACACAGCGCTTACTTCCTGTTGCCGGTAGGTGGCGCTATCACTATGTCTGAATATTGTCATGTAGACGTGTTCAGGGTGGGACCGTTATAACAGACGTGAAGTTTCATTGAGATTGGACCACGTACGCTGAAGTTACGAGGACGTGTTCAGGGCGAGACTGTTAGAGAATATATGAAGTTCACTGGAGATTGGACATTGCACACTGAAGTTATGAGTTGCATTTCATGGCGAATCCGCTGAATTCGACAAGTCATCACCGGCATGGTCATTTCATGTAACGCAGCTCAAAATCACCATGGAGCGCTTACTTCCTACTGCCAGTAGGTGGCGCTATCACTATGTCTGAATATTGTCATGTAGACATGTTCAGGGAGGGACTGTTATCAAACACGTGAAGTTTCATTGAGATTGGATCATGTACGCTGAAGTTATGAGGACGTGTTCAGGGTGGGACTGTACACTGAAGTTGAGTTCTGTTTATGGTGAATGGTCCAAATTCAACGCAACGCCACGGGCACGCCGTTTGATGGAATGTCGTAAATAGCACAACTTTTAATCATGAATGTCTTAAGATTGCGCTGATTAAATTTGAAGAAGATCCGATAAATTCCCTAGGAGGAGTTCGTTCAAATACAACGCGGAAAATCACAGAAAATGCGCACGGAATTCACTATGGCCAACTTTGAGGGCACGCCACGTACACGCCCTTCAACGTACATGCACAAATAGCACAACTTTTAATCAGAACTATTTTTTGACTGTACTCACAAATTTTGAAGCAGATCCGATAAAATCCCAAGGAGGAGTTGGTTCAAATACAATGCGAAAAGTTCGCCGAAAGTGAAACTTTAAATCAAAATGGCCGACTTCCTGTGGGGTTTCGGGTATGGGTCCAAGAGGCTTTTTTGTACGTCCCGGCATGTTACACGTGCCTACCGAGTTTCGTACATGTCGGTGAAATGTGGCGCCGGGGCTGCTGTTTTTTTATCCTGTAGGGACAAACACGATTTTTGGTATGTGAGCTTCAGGCACTACTCTACACATACCCTGTAAATGTCATATTCATAACTATTATGGTCTCCGCACAGTGATTTATCATGCCAAAAGAGTGCCACCTAGTGGTGTATTTTTTTTGTCCTTTTTAAGTGAACCTCAGGGAGCCATGGGGAAGCATCATACAAAGTTTAATTTTAATCACACATACCGTTGTAGAGATATAAACTTCTTCATTTTAAAGAGCGCCACCTAGTGGAAATGTCCTGAAATTGTGCACAATGCTTAAGGAAGACATGTGGAACTATGCACCCAAGTTTGGTGTCAATCGGACAAATCGATGTGGAGAAATGGTCCACTTCCTTTTTTCTACAAAAAATCCACAGGAAGTGCTAATTTTATAGCGTGCTTATTGTTTGAAATTTCAAAAATGTTTAAATTACTTTTTTTGCCAGGGCGGTCCCCAGGTGCTAGGTGAAAAATTTTGTGTGAATCGGACAAAGCGTGTCGGAGGAACACGAAAAAAGTAGTTTAAGGACATTTCGCGCTCTAAAAAAAAAAAATTCTGGGCGGAAGTGGGCGGGGCCTATATGGAGAGATTAAGCTCCATTCACCGAACGCGTGAATACCAGTTTTTTGAATGTGCGACACACTATGCAGAAGTTATTAGCCTAAACACATTTTTTATGATAGTAGCGCCACCTACTTGCCAACCCGAAAGCGATGCATAGAATATAAAATTTTTCACCAGGCCTGACCACTTTGCCAAATAAAATTGACTTTTCGTATATGTTCAGGGGGGCAAAAACGCAATCAAAAGTGCTAAAAATAATAATAGGTAAGAAGAAACATAGCAAAAACAATAGGGACCTCCAGCAGTCGCTTGCGAGGTCCCTAATTAAATATACTACGAGATTCCTCCCTGGCAACAGCGGGGTTGGACTTTATGTTCTGACATATACATAATGAGATTTGACAAACAGGAGAGATTTTATTGAACTATTTATTTATCAGTTAATAATTCAGTGTTTTGAGTCAGATATGGACATGTTTCTCTAGAAACAGAAATTGAATTTCCAGGAAATGTACAATTTAATATAAAATGTCATATATTCTGATAAAGAATTGCAAAAGATTTTTTATCCATATTGCCAAACACACAGCTATTGTAAATTATCTGAGAATAATTTTCTAAAAACTAGCATGCCTAACACTGAAACACCAAAAATAAAATATATATTTAATAAAGAAAAGGTTTTTCTTATTTGTACAAAGATTAACAAAAAAGCAAAACAAATACACTTTTAGGTGGACTAACAACGAGGAACAAGTAAAATAAACCATAAAAGGCCTTGGAAAAAACTTTGTATATTCTGAGTTTAACAAACAAACAATGAAAATAAAGTTTTAGGAATGAGACGGTGTGGCAGCTATAATGAGCTCAGTTAATTACAAAATTATATCTGGTTTACTTCTGTGATTAAAGGATAATAATAATGATAGACACCAAACAGATAACAAACCAATAAGACACATAATTTACATTTGTTGAAGACATCACAGTCAACCAGAACAAATTCACCAAAACATTTCCCAGTAACCAGTTCTCCCACAGCAGAGTCAAAATATTGCTTCCTTTTATCTACAGTTAGGATTCTTATTGAAAATCCTATCTGTAGATGACTCTATCAGTCTTGTCTCTTTCTATTTTCCTACATTTCTCCTTCTGTTTTCTCCCCTTTCTCTCTCTCCCTCTTTCTCTGCCTACATGAAGCTGACTGTGTAAATGTTGTCATCATTCATACTGATGAACTGCTGATATCATTGCTGTCCATTCTACAACAACACACAGAGGCCAAAAGCTTGTCTATGGTCCCTTTCCTCATGAAAACATACAGAACTAAGTCTGCAAGAGGATTCAAGCAAATAAAAATGAAAGACACAAAAGTGTTATTTCTTGTTTCCTCTGCCAACGCCCAAATGATTCTGGGCAGGAACAGCAGTGTGTAAATAAGCAGCACCAGGACCAAAATTCCCACAATTCGTCGTTTTTCATCAGAGGGGACTCGGCTGGAGGACAGGGCTTTGAGGGTCCCACCAAGGAAGAATATCAACAGTGGAAAGGGAAGGAGGAGGAAGACACCGAAGATAATACATTCAACGTTAACATCATCCAAGAAAATGAAAGGGAGGTTAACAAAAAAAGAAATGACCCAGACCACGACACAGACCACCACAGAGGTCTTGATGGTTCGTCTGAAGCGGTACCACAGCGGGAAGGCGATGACCAAATACCTGTAATACAAGATGGACACATAGTCTTTGAGTAGCTTCAGAATTCTATAGTAATATAATGGTCAGACACAGAAGTAGCTACACACATACTGGATAGACAGATAGCTACCTTTCCAGGGCGATACACACCATGAAGCCGACACTGGCAATCAGACAAGAATCATAAATTAATTTTAAAATTTGAAATATTTTCTGATCCTCACGACGTGCCAGCCAAACGATCAAGCAGCAGAGCTGAATGAGGTCAGAAATGAGGAGGTTGATGACGTAGATTGGAGCAACGTGATCATTTCGCACCTGCAGGAAAACATTGGTAAGAGTAAACAACCAGTTGTAAACATGTTCTGAACTCCACCTCCTCCCAAATATGTTATCTTACTCTGACCAGAAATTGCAGTTATTTATGCATTTTTTTGCATACAGTTTTTTGTGCTGTCAGAAATATCAGATATGAAACATTGGTCAGTCACTGCAGTAACAAGAAGGACCAGATTGACTACAGCTTCTGCAGCTGTGTTTCAGACAAAGATATGACGCACTCTGACCCAAACACATATTCTGTATGTATCAAACAGATCCACTAGACTGGAGTCACAGTTTTTTGTTCTCACCTCACTGCATATGTATTTCACATATGATCACACAATTAATAACAGGAGACATGTTAACAGAGGTTAATTATCTTCTCCACTGGATCTACTGAGGTGGTGCATTTTCTTAGCAATCAGTTTGCAGAGAAAATTCTCATGCATTTGGAAACATGTATCAAATAATAGGCATACATAAAGCTAAAAAGCACTTACTAGAAAAAAATGTGGCTGTTATTAAAGGTCCAGTGTGTAACACTCAGGAAGATCAATTGGCAGAATGAATTGAATATAATATACCAGTAGTTTTCATTAGTGTACAGTCACCTGTGATTAAAAAATGTTGCATTTTCATTACCTTAGAATGAGTTTTTATCCACAGTGGTCACCATGTTGAACCATCATGTTTCTACATTACCAGAACAGACAGACCAAACACTGGCTCTAGACGGGGCCTTTGGCATTATTCTCCTACACACTTTGAAGGCTGAGCTGTATTTAAATGGATGCGACCTGCAACTTTACCTCTGCTGCTCTCTCTATCTCTCTCTCTCTCCACTGGTTTTGATGCCTTGTGCATTATTATTCCACTTAATCTCCTTTTGCTTTCCAATGAATATGTTGCTTCCTCATGTCTCAATTATTATTGTTAAGTTTGTAATGTTTTAAGAGTGATATCCTGAGTAATATCCACAGTTTTTTCAAGTGGAACTGATCAGTGACCAAAGTCAATATTTTGTAGTTAAGATCACTGCTTTTTCCCCCTAATCTTGGTGATCTCAAAGAAACACTATTGTTTAACTCTGCATACTGAGCTCTCCCTCACATCATGCTGTCCAGGAGCTGACTGCACAATGACTGACTGTAAACTCAATGAAAACAGCAGCACACATTTGCAAAATACCATATTCTTAGTAAATAAGAGTCTAAGAGTCTACAGCCATGCTAGCAGGTCTGTGAGGCTGTTTTTGGTTTATTTGAGTTTTAACTACATGGTGCCATTAACATTTTAACAGAAGGGTGGAATGGAGCCACACGTAAACTGTATGTGTTCAGGGTCCAATTAACTTTGTAAAAAAAATTAATTATTGAGTAAATTATTCCTGTAAACTTATAGGTCTTTACAACACTTTGTTCCAGTCCCATGACACCTAGCCCAAGATTTTTTACAGGCAGATACATGACACAGAGAGTAAATAATTCAATCTCACTTATAACGTACATACCTGAGAATAAAGAGCATAGATGGCCACAAGGGTCCAAGGAAGACTGATACAAATGATTATGTAAAAGATCACACCCAGGTTAAAGTTAACCTCTTTGTTATCCTCATTGTTGGAGGTGATGTTGCTGTAATTATAGCTGTTGGCCAGTGAAGTGTTGTTAATGTAGAAATCTTCCATTCTTCAGAGTGAAACCTGTAGTTTGAGAGATCAGGTTATAGAAAGGGAGCACGCTTTTAAAATATCTACCTTACAATGTTCAGTGATATTACTAAAGCTGTCAGGTGCAAGTTCACACAAATACAGTACACACACACACACACACACACACACACACACACACACACATATAGTATACCCACAATAAGTTTCAGAGTTCATTTTTAAAATGTACCTTTGAAACCTGCAAGAGCCCAACTGAATGAGTTCCGTACACCCACATCTGATGAGTTGTCCTCTGCATCTAACCAGTCTACAGTAAACATGGTCCTGTCAATCTACACCTCCTCTTGTAAGAAAGTAAGAAAAAAGTAGTCAGGCACAAATACATTATTACTGCCCCCCCTGCTGGCCTGAGTGGAACCTTTGAAATTTCTGTTGAAGCGCTTGTAGATGCATTATTCTGTTGCGGTTCAAACATAAGAAATATGGTGAATGTGAATGATTACCTTATATATAATGTATTCTTAATTATCCTGACTGCATGTTTTCACCTTAGTTAAAAGTGTTGAGGAATTGGTCAACATAACTGGTCATACTGGCACAGACAATAACTGAATCTGTATGTTTTGTTCATCATCCCACTATTAGCAGCTCTGTCAAATATGGACAAGAAGCCTTTCCTTTACACTGGTGACTGTCTTTACAGCCATCTGACAGCAACAGGTAGATGTCTTAGGCTAGATTTAGACCTGTACTTTGACTCTATATACAGTAAGGTGCCATAATATATGAGAAGGATACCCCCAAAGCCCCCTACAGATGTCTTAAGTCCTAGAAATGCCCCAGCTTCAGAGTAAGAGTTGACTGCAAACTTGTAAGATATCACATACATTTCCTGCTATAAAGATGTTGCTGATATTTGGTTTTATCATGTCCTTATCTTCCTCTGATGTTGGTACTGAAAATGCACATAACCTTCCAACATGTTCAACAATTGAAAACAAAGCTTCTTTTCTCAAAATCCACGAATAAAACATTGCCTACAACACTTTATTGAGACACACATTTACAATGTGTACATATACAGCAGGAAGACAGATGTAATGATCAATTCATGTTATTTTGACAAAACATCTTCCAATAATAATTTTAATATTATGATAATCTTCCAATCCAATTAATGACTGAGAATGGAAAATGAATGTAGTGAATTAATGAAAAGTAAGGTTTGGGTGCTCCACCTCAGCACTTAAGGCAAATGTTGCTGTTCTACTGAACTTTGGTGATGCAACCTTGTCCAAAGTGAGTTTAAAGAGTAGCCCGACTACATCTGAAGATGCTTCATTTGATAGAGGACTTATTCTAACTATTGTAATTATTTATTAACACCCCCTGCTCTTTCATTGATTTATATCTGCAGAATGTATACTCACCCACCTACTAATTTAGAAAGAGCGACAGCCAATGGTATAATTTCTTCACTCAGTAATAGCAGCTCTTTGTGTACACTGCATGTACACTTTACTTCTCCATTGCTGTTGTCAAAACCAAATTCTGCTGCAGCACCTACGCCTAACATGTAGTTCTCTACTAAATGTAACTTGGGCCCAATTTCAGTCACAAACAGCACTGAGCAGCCCTGACTGTATTTTTTACAACAATGCAGAATAACTCAGCACAGACAATAAAGTTCTGCAATGTAAAAAAATAATTAATAATTAATTAAATTTCAGGTATCAAATTAGACTCTGAAAGACAAAAAAAGAAAAGACAATGTATTTTCCAGCAATCATTAACCATACCTTAACACATGTTAACAGGGCGGTCCTAGACCATTTGGTGCCCTAGGCGAGCTTTACTGATAGCACCCCATCCCCACGAGATAACTCATGTCCAAAGAATTGCACATTTATTTAAAAAATGCTAATATAAACAATATGTGCAAAAGAATAAACCTGTTCAATAATAAATATACAAAAAATAATCTTTTAAACATATTTTTTACAGTAGTGCAACATCTGAGAACAGAAAGTGCACACTAAAGAATCAAAACCAAAAATTAAACTAACAATAAAACATTGTGTGCAAAATTAGATACTGTAAAATGTGATTCATATAACCTATTAATCAAAATTTAATATACAAAATAAACAAAAAGGTTCAAATTCACCCCAAGTGAATAGAATAATATATTCTACTTCACACTAATATCACACTTCATTCACAATGCAATCTTTCTGGCCTTCCTTGCCGCAAAGTCATCCAGGCTCAGTGGTTAGAGGCAGGGTGAGGTTGGCAGGAAGAGCAGCATGCTCTTGTTGTGTCTCTTCAAACAAAGGAAGATGTTGATGATGTGATGAATCTGTGGCATAAAGGTAAACGTTTATATCAATAGGTGAGAGCAGTGATGATGCTGTTGGTATTTTCTTTAAAACTCATGATGTTGAGATAATCAGGAGAAGAGACATTATTCCAGGTAGACTGCTGATGTTGGATTGTTTTTATCAGGGTGAAAAATATCACATTATTATTGTTTACACTGCTCCAGAAGTAACTAAGAAATGTCAGTTGTTCAGAAAACTCTCAGAATTAACTTTAGTTGGATTTAATATTATATTATGTGGAGATTTTATTAGAGTAACTGAAGAAAATGACAGAGTCAGCAGCACAGTGTTTAAACTGAGCTCTGAGGGGAAACTTAAAAAAAATGTGTGAAGAATCACAGTTAACTGATGTATATAGAGCTGTTAACCCCTTTGGAACTGATTTTACTCGTATTGATCAAATATCCGTATCCTCTAATTTTAAAGTAACTCACTACGGAACAGTGTTATTATTTGTCTGACCATCTTTTAGTTAAAACCTCTTAGTCATCTGGAGCCTCAGCCAATAGAGGCTTCTGGAAACTTAAAAGACTCAGACTTGATAACTGAATTCAATTAAGAATCTTAACTATAACCTACACTAATTTATGGGAAATACTCAAAAATGTAATCAAAGATTTCTTTAAATTTAAAAGTAAAGAAAT